CCGTCTAGCCTTCCTAGAGGAAGGTCATATACCAGTAAAACGCTGCTATTTTGCCTCTTAGTGAACATGTTTGAGCCCACTCCCTCAGCTCCTGAGATCTTATCGGGAAGCTGCTAATCACCAATTTCAGGTTTTTCTTATCTGTTGGGAGGATGCCTTTCCCTGGCATCAGCTGAAACCAATTATTATTTTAGAGCGGCTTGAACGTCAAATATTTTCTTCCATTCTGTTGGTTGTCTGTTCACTCTCCTGATAGTGTCCTTCAGTACACAAAAGCTTTTATTTTTGTTGAAGTCCAGTTTACCAATTTTTTTCTTTTCAACTTGTGCTTTTGGTGTCATATCTAAGAAACCACTGCTAAATCCAAGGTCATGGAGATTTGCCCCATGTTTTCTTGTATGAGTTTCATAGATTATGCTTTTATACTTAGGCCTTTGATAAAATTTTGAGTTAATTTTTGTATATAAGGTAAGGTAAGAGACTAATGTTATGCTTTTGCATATGGATTTTCTCTTATTCCACTATCTTTTGTTGAAGAGACTTTTTTCCCATTGAACAGTCTTGGCATCTTTGTTGAAAATGAATTGGCCACACATGTGATGGTTTAATTCTGGACTCCTAATTCTGTCCCATTAAACTGTATGTCTGTCCTTATCTAGTACACACTTTTGATTCCTATAATAGCTTTGTGATACGTTTTTAAATTGGAAAATATGAGTATACCAGTTGGTTCTTTTTCAAGATTGTTTTGGCTATTCAGAGTCTCTTGTAATTCCATATGAATTTTAGGACCAGCTTTTCCATTTCTGCAACAACAGAAGGCCATTGGGATTTTTGAAGGGATTACACTGAATCTGTAGGTCTTTTTTGGGAGTATTGCCATCTGAACAACGTTGTCTTCGAAACCATGAACACAGGATGTCTTTCTGTTTATTTAGGTCTTCAGTTTCCGTCAACAATATTTTATAATTTTCTGTCTTATGTGATATTAGATAAATTTATTCCTAAGTATTTATTCTTTTTGATACTCTTTTAAATGGAATAATTTTTTATAATTTTATTTTCTGTTGGTAGTTTTTAAAATTTTCATTGATCTACTTGGGTTTATATCTACAGTCTTACTATTTGATTTTAATTTGTTCAAACTATTTTGCATCCTTTTTTTCTCTCTTATCTTGCCTTCTTCTTTTTATTGTTTGTTTCCCTCTCTGTTGCTTTGTTTGTTGTGCGTTCTTTTATTGTTTACCCTAAAAATTATGATAGGTACTTTTGACTTATAATATTCTGATAGAAATAATTACTTCAACCATTCCCCCATTAGTGCTCTTCTGACCCTCCACCGTTTCCACTTTACTATAATGCATGTTAATTTTACGTGTATTTTGTATGTATTTTAAGATGATATTATTTTTGTTGGCACAGAGTATTCATTTATATTTTCCCACAGTCATCCCTTTTGTTGCTCTTAATTCATTTTTAATTTTCATCTTAGATCATTTCCCTTCTGTCTAAAGAACTTTCAAGCATTTCTTTTAGTGCAGTTTGCTGATGGCTATTTTTTCCTTTTTTGTCTATCTAAAAGTGTATTTATCTTCATTTGTAAATAATATTTTTACTGGCTAGAGATTATAGGTTTGCAGTTATTTTCTCTCAACTTTTAAAATAAGCCATTCCATTGTTTTCTGGTTTTCTGAAGTCAATTCTGAAAGTTACTGTCACTTCCTTGAAGGTAATGTCCTTTTTCCACTGACCGCCCTTAACATATTTTTCTTTGGTTTTCAACTCTTTAAATAAGATATGCCTAGCTGAGGTTTTCTTGTATTTATCCTTGCGGTTTGGGGAACTTCTCAAATCTGTAGGTGATTGTCTTTAATCAGTTTTGGAAAATCCTTAGCCATCATCTTTGTAGATTTTGCCTCTGCCCCGTTCTTGCTGATCTGTCCTTTTGAGATTGCATTTACATGTGTTAGATCTTTTTTGTGTGTTTTACATGTTTCTTCCCCTCTCTTCTGTATTTTTTGGTCTGTGACCTTCTTTCTGTTTGAATATTTTCTTTTGCCTTATTTTCTATTCTGCAAGTCTTATCTTTTGATATCTCTAATAAGTTCTTAATTTCAGTAATATAATTTCAATTATAGAATTTTAATTCTATTATAATTCTGACTTTCTGATGAATTTTTTTATCTTTTATTGAAGATAAAAAAGATAGTCATAGTTATATACAGTCTTGTCTGTTAACTCTAAGAGCTGGATCACCACTTTTTTTTTTTTTTGGTTTTCAGTTATATCACCCTGTCTCTTGAGATGCCCAGTAATTTTTTACTAAGTGCTAGACGGTATAAAATATTAGTGAGATTCCAGATAGGTTATATTACTATAGAAAAGATTAATCCTCTTTTCTGCTTAGCAGATAAATGCAATTAGCACTTTACTTTTATTTATTTGTTTTATTTATTTATTTATTTTAGAGACAGGGTCTCACTCTGTCTCCCAAGCTGAATGCGGTGATGTGATCGTAACTCACTGCAGCTTCGATCATAGCTTACTGCAGCCTTGAACACCTGGGCTCAAGTGATCCTCCTGCCTCTGCCTCCCAAGTAGCTGGGACTACAGGCATATGCCGCCATGCCTAGCTTTTTTTTTTTTTTAAAGTAGAGATAGTCTTGCTGTTTTGCCCAGGCTGGTCTCAAATTCCTGAGCTCAGGTGATCCTCCTGCCTTGGTCTCTCGAAGTACTGAGATTACAGCTGTGAGCTGTTGTATCCAGCCAGCAGATCACTTTAATTCAGTCAGGAACTGAGCTGAGTTAGAGGCTGCATTGCAGTGTTGGTAGGTCTCTCCCTCTGATTTGTCTCTGCTACTAGGGTGTAGTCATTCAGGACTTCTCAGCAGAAAGTTTGGTATGTTGAGATGCTGTGTGGAGGTTGAACTGTAATTCATGTCCTTTAGACTGATAAGACTGCCAGAATCTCCACTCTGTTCTCTTTATGCTTAGCTTCTTGGCTTCCTTCCCTGTGTAGCTTTAGAATTTTCAGATACACATAGGGAAAACTGACTCTGTGTTAGGCTCAATCCTTCCCACTTCTCACTTAGATCTTATTTCTTTCATTTCCAATTTTGTCTCTATAGCCTGAAAAGACCACCTACAGCTCTGCTAGTTTCTCAGGTTCTCCAGCACAGCCTAGGCCAAGCTTGATTCCTAGCCTCTTGTCTTATGCCCAGTTCAACAAATACCTGCTTCGAAAAGTGGCTGTACATATCAGGCTACCTGTTGGTACTTTCCTGCTCTTTGAATTTATTCCATCTGAAGTTCTTTAGCAGTTCTCCAGTGGCTTTAAATAGATAACTTAAAACTTTTTTTCTCTTTGTAAGTTGTTCTTGATGGAAACATTGGTGTAATACAGAGTTTCTTAGAAGTGAAAGTCATAGTTTGTTATATATCAGTTATTATATTCATTTTATAGTTCTCTGACATCAGTTTCTTTAAGTGACTCTTGATTTTCTAATTGTATTATGTATAGGAGGCTCTGGAAAATAATATACATCAGTGCAGAAACAAATTGATTCGTCCACATTAGAAAGGCCTGGTGGTAAGAATATCTCTAACAACTTCAAAATCAGCAATGACTCAAACTTTTATATAAATAAATGCAAAAAATATTCCATAGTCAAAAGGACAGATGCACATCCTTGGGATATTTTTTCTATTCCTGTGGTTGAAATGATTATTTTACTGGGTTTTATGTTTGGGGCTACTGTTTTTTTTCCCTTAATATTAACTTACAGCATTAGCTTTGTTTACATCACGTGATTTCACAGTATAAAGAACTCTGTTTAAAATGTGAAAGAGGCATGGTGCTGTAATCCTAGCACTTTGGAAAGCTGAGGTGGACAGATTGCTTAAGCCCAAGAGTTTAAGACCAGCCTGGGCAACATGGTGAGACCCTGTCTTTACAAAAAATACAAAATTTAACCTGTGTGGTGGTGCGTGCCTGTAGTCACAGCTACTCAGGAGGCTGAGGTGGGTGGATTGCTTGAGCCTAAGAGGTAGAGGTTGCAGTTAGCTGAGATCCTGTCACTGCACTCTAGCCGGGGTGACAGAGCGAGACCCTGTCTTTAAAAAAAAAAAAAAAAAAAAGATCAAGAAAATTTGAGCCCAAAGTGAGAGCCCTTTCCCTACCCTCAATGCTTAAATTGCTACTATGTTGCTACTTACCTTCCTCTCCTCCTCCCATTTTTTCTCCTATTACTTGTCCTCTCTCTCCTGTTGACTGTTGTTAATTGAAGAGAATTTAGAAATTGAAATACTTAAATGAGGCCAAGTGTGGTGACTCACACTTGTAATCCCAGCACTTTGGGAGGCCAGGGTGGGCAGATCACCTGAGGTGGGGAGTTTGAGAGCAGCCTGGCCAACATGGGGAAACCTTGTCTCTACTGAAAATGCAAAAATTATCTGGGCGTGGTGGTGCATGCCTATAATCGCAGCTACTCGGGAGGCTGAGGCCGGAGAATTGCTTGAATGTGGGACGTGGAGGTTGCAGTGAGCCGAGATCATGCGACTGCACTCCAGCCTGGACAACAGAGCGAGACTCCATCTCGAAAAAAAAGAAAAGAAAAAGAAAGAAAGAAATACTTAAAGGAAGAAAACTAAAATTTCTTGTAATCCCATCACTGATTTAGTCACACTTTTGAACATTTGGTGCATGTCTTTTGTGTATTTATTCTTTGTAAAATGGATATTGTCAGTGGTTCTCAACCCTGCTTCTTCATTAATATCATCTAAAATATAGATTCTGGGATACACCTCACATTTAACTAAATCAGAATCTTCAAGGGTAGGGCTAGGAGAGTTTTATTTAAAAAACCAAAAACTCCCCTTCAGAAAATTTTAATAACCCTCAGAATTTTCTTTTAATGAAAAAGAGAATGTTGCAATATTATAGAAAGCTTTAACTTGTATACAGCTCTTTAACTAATTATTCAATTTTAACTTTTCCCTAGCCATTCCACCCTATGGTGAATCTGGATTGTTCTCGGGATTTCCGGCCTTTTCTTTGTGCACTCTATGCTCCTATTTGTATGGAATATGGACGTGTCACACTTCCCTGTCGTAGGCTGTGTCAGCGGGCTTACAGTGAGTGTTCGAAGCTCATGGAGATGTTCGGTGTTCCTTGGCCTGAAGATATGGAATGCAGTAGGTGCGAAAATTGTAGATTTTCATGGATCATTTCTTATGTTGCAATATGTTTGAAATTACTTGTCTTCTTTTCCATCTGTTTTAAAAAACTTTTTTTGAAGTGTACATATTAGTCATTAATTTTGAATAGCAGTTTTATGGCCTCAGAATTGTTTATTTGCTTAGAAATTTGGAAGCACTAAATGAAAAAGAAAACATTTCTGTGAAGAAGTTTTTAAAAGACTTAAGAATTACATAATCAAGACAGTTGATTTTTCCCCCTTTAAAACATTTTTTTCTGATTATGAAAATAGTGCTATTTGTGAAAAATTATACAGAGAAGAAAACCATTTATTACCTCATCATTGCAGGAGCTTAAATACCTTTATGATTTAACTATAGACTTGTAGGATAGTTCTCTCAGTTCTTTTTTTCTGTCAAGTATTAACATACCAAATCCAGAAAATGTCAAATACTTTTCAAATTACATCCAGTATATAGACTATAATAAGCATGTCTTAAAGTTTTGGGGATTTATTAGACATTCTTAAAGTTTCGTTTGAGTGAGCATTGTTATTAGTAATAATATATTTATTATATAACAATGTTTTACCTATTTGTATTCTGAAATATTTCAGGGATAAAGATTAAGGTGAATACTTATGTATCTATTATTATCTAGCTTTGCCCAATCTTAACAGTTTGTAATATTGGCTTCAGATTTTTTTTAAGAAATAAAACAATACAGGTTGAATTGAAGGTTTTTCCTTATTATCCATCTTGAGCTTATTATCTTCTTACCCCCCAGGAGTGAGATAATCTTTATGTTGAATTTGTTTTAAAATCATTCCCATGTTTGCTTATATACTCTTACTACATATATGCATATCCATAAACAACACAACATTTTTGTATGTATCTATCTGTGTTTGTACCTGTAACCTGTAGGTCTGGTACATTCCTTTTAATTGCCGTGTAGTGGCCAATTGTATTAATATCCTACAGTTATTTAGCTTTCTACTGATGGTCATTTAGGTTGTTTCCAGGTTTTTGTTATTATAAGCAACCTTCTTTTCTCCTTCATATTTAAAAATAATTTTGTTTGTTGTCTGGCAATAGCCCTTGGAGGCAAGTAAAGCAGATTTTGTTACTTACTTGACAGATGGAGAAACTTAAGAAATAATAAATGCTGTACAGTAAGTCCTCACTTAACGTTGTTGATAGGTTCTCAGAATATGTGACTTTAAGCAGAATGACATTTAATGAAACCAATTTGTTTTCTTTTCTCTTCTCTTTTTTTTTTTTGAGCTGGAATCTCACTCTGTGCCCCAAGCTGGAATGCAGTGGCATGATCTTGGTTCACTGCAACCTCACCTCTCGGGTTCAAGCGATTCTCCTGCCTTAGCCTCGTGGATACCAATTTGTTTTCTTATAAACGTTATAACAAAATGACGTTGAAAAAAAAAACTGATTTTTAAGGACCTGCTGTATGGTGTCTTGCTTGAAGTCACAGTTTAAAAGAATCTATCTATGATGTTAAATGGGGACTACTGTATTAGCTTCTTGTAGTCAATTCATTGATGTTCTGCTTTCTCATTTTTGTCTATTTCCCACCTATTTTACCTGCCCTTTTATTTAGTCCCATCTAACCATTCATCTCTCTCCAGACACCTGAAAATGTTGCTAGTTTCTCTTTTAGGAGTCCGTAAATAAAACAATTATGAATTGCCTGGGTAGGAACTCGTGTTTTATGCTTCTTGTATTTAACGCCTATTGTTTAGGTGTCTTTTTATTTTAATAGCTTATATATAAGCATAGAAATCTCATAATCTTTATTTTTAAAATTTGTTTTGATAGGATTAAACCTGTTTTATGTCCTCATTATATCCTGGGATTGCCTAAATTTGAAATCTTAAATTCTGAAAAAGGGAACTTTCTTTTTTTCTTTTTTTTTGAGACGGAGTCCGCTCTGTCACCCAGGCTGGAGTGCAATGGCGCAATCTCGGCTCACTGCAACCTCTGCCTGCTGGGTTCAAGCAATTCTCCTACCTCAGTCTCCCGATGAGCTGGGCTTACAGGCACCTGCCGCCATGCCCAGCTAATTTTTGCATTTTTGGTAGAGACGGGTTTTCACCGTGTTGGCCAGGCTGGTCTTGAACTCCTGACTTTAGGTGGTCTGCCCGCCTTGGCCTCCCAAAGTGCTGAGATTACAGGCATGAGCCACTGCGCCCAGCCTCAAAGGGAACTTTCATAGCAACCTTTTATTCTTCCATGGCTCTCATACTTTTGTACCTACTATACTGGTTGCCTTGGTTCATTTGTGCAGCTATAACAAAATACCACAGACTGGGCAAATTATAAATAATAAAAATTTATTTCTCAGGCAGAGGCACAGGCAGATTGTGTTTCTAGTGAGGGCTGCTTTCTGCTTCCAACATGGCACCTTGTTGCTGCATCCTTCAGTGGATAGGAACACTGTATCCCCATGTGGCAGGAGAGCAAGAAGGGCAAGCTCACTCTGCAGCCTCTTTTATAAGGACATTAATCCCTTAATTGTCCCAAAGACCTCACTTCGTTTTTCTTTTTTGGAGATAGGGTCTCGCTCTGTTGCCCAGGCTGGAGTGCAGGGGCACAGTCATAGCTCACTACAGCCTCAAACTCCTGGGCTCAATCAGTCCTCTTGCCTCAGCCTCCCAAGTAGCTGGGATTACATGTGCGTGCCACCATGTCCAGCTAATTAAAAAAAAAAAAAATTGTAGAGATGGGGTCTTGTTTTGTTGCCCAGGGAGGTCACAAACTCCTGGCCTTAAGCAGTCCTTCCGCCTTGGCCTCCTAAAGTGCTGGGATTATGAACTGAGCCACGGCACTTGGCCAGGCTCTGCCTGTGAGTGCCACTGCAGTGGGGATTGTTTCTTGAATATTCATGTCCCCCAAAGTTCATGTGTTGGAAACTTAATTCTCAGTGCAACAGTGCTGAGAGGTGGGACCTTTAAGAGATCATGAGGACTCCACCCTCATGAATGGATTAATGCCATTATCTCAGGAGGGCATTAGTTGTTGCGAGAGTGGGTTCCTGATAAAAGGATGAGTTTGGCCTCTTTTCCTCCCTGGACCCCCATGCTCTCTTGCCCTTTTGCCATGGGTTGGTACACCAAGGATGCACCTCCTTCCCAGATGCAGGCCCCCTTGACTTGGACTTCCTAGCCTCTAGAACTGTAAGAAATAAATCCCTGGTTTTTATAAATTACCCAGTCTTAGGTATTCTGTCATAGCAGCACAAAATGGACGAAGACAGCACCTATTCTCATAATTCATGGACAACCCCAGAATTTTTATCTTTTTATCCTAAATAGACCCTTTCTGGTCTCATTTGTTTCTTTATTTAGCTTAAATGTTGTGGTCTATCACTTGAAATAACATGTTTGATAGCAGTTTCATCTCATTCCTCTTACTGTACTTATTTAGACCTCCAAATAGACTGATTAATTTTTTACAAATTGATTATGCTGTATATTTAATGATTCTGAAATTACAGCAGTTGTATTTTCTATTTGTAACCACTTGTCTTGGTCAGAAAAATTTCTGTTCATTTTCCTCAGCACTTGTGCCAAATCTGTATCACTTAAACTTGTATCTCACCTTTATTTCCTTCAACCTCAGCCTGTCCGCCTTTCCTGAAAATGATTCAGTCCATCGTGTAAGAGAACTATTGTGATCTGTTATGTCTCAGACTGTTCCTTCTCAGTTTCCTTCCTGGATCCTCCTCTTTTTTCTGCCCCTTGAATAATGGTGCTTCCCAGAGTTTGGCTCCTGTTCTCTACAGCCCTTGCTGGATAATCTCATCTCACCTATTTTAACTCTTATTTATATACTGATAATTCCTAAACCTGAATCTGTAGCCTCTCCCTGAAAAGCTCAAAACCTGCATATATCCAGCAGCTGTTGAAAATCCTAACATATATCCAGTAGCCATTGGAAATCCTGGCCTCAGTTTGTCTCAGCAACCTCAATTTTGGCATATGTAAAATTGATTTTACTTCTTGGCTTACTTTTTTATTCCCTTGAAGTATCTTCTGTTCCTACTTCATTGATCTTAACTCCCACATTCAAATTATGCATTCTGTTGCTTTTAGCTAACTAATTTCATATCCATCTCATTCTCACTGCCTTATTTGGCTTTCATTTTGGCACATCTGGTGTCCCTGCCCCCATTTTTGCCCCACTCAAGTCTGTCTTTTACACTGCTCCTGGTTACCTTTCTGATTACTTGGGTTTGGGTTATATGAATATATTCACTCAACCAACATTCTTTAGTTCGACAGATGTCAATTGAATGTCTTTGGTGTGCTAGGCACTATTCTAGATGCCAAAAATGAGCAGTGAGGAAAACAGAGATCCTGTTCTTATGGAGTGAAAATTCTAGTGGTGGAGGTAAATAAAATTGTAGACAATGTCACAGGAAAATGAATGCTAATAAGAACAAATGCGGTAGGTGATAGGGATACAATATAGGAGAGCAGAGGGATTCTATTTTCTATAGAGTGCTTGGAGAAGTCCTTTTTGATAAGGAGGCTTTGGACCAGGGACTTGAATGAAGTGAGAAAACAAATGATGATATCTGGGGGCAGAGCAGGCTAGGCAGAGGGGAAACAGAGCAGCAAGTACAGAGACTCTGAAGTGGAACCATGCTTCCTAAACTCAGAACGACAGGAGACCAAAGTGGTTGGAGCCAAGTGAGTGAGGGAGAATGGAAGGAAATAAGATCAGAAAAGTACTGGGGCTGAGGGTCTGTATAGCTGTGGTAGGGAATTTGGATTTGACTCTGAGATGAGAAGCCATTAGAGGGTTTTAAGCAGAAGAGAGGGAGGATCACGGACACAGGAGTAGCATATCTTTAAAGGATTACTTTAGCTGCTCTGTGGAGATGGAGATCAATTGGAGGCCCCTCTAGAAGTCCAGGGAAGAAGTATTGATGGCTCAGACTGGGCACCAGAGGGGAGGAAATGAGAAGAGGTCGGTTTCCTGATGTATCACTAAGTAGAATCACAGGAAATGCTGGTAGATTGTGATGTGTATATGAAAGATAAGGGACATCAAGGATAACCCCAAGGTTTTTGGCCTAAGCAGCTAGAAGTGTAGAATAATCGCTTATTGATATGGGGAAACCTGTGGAGTGGAAGTCAAGAATTTGCTTTCAGAAGGGTTGAAGATTGAGGTGCCTATTATATATCTAAGTGTATATGTTGGGTTGGCAGTTAGATATACAAATAATTTCCATAGATATATCAGTATCGGGTAACATGGGAAAATTGTAGTGTTTACATGGTTTTAAATTTTGTTAATGTTTACACACATACACACACACACACACACACACACACACATTTCTGCAACATGCTTACCTCTCCAGTCTCATCTCCTGCCACAAGTCATGCACACTTTATGTTCCAGCAGTAACAAACACACCCTGTTCAGACACCTATGCCTATGTTTATATTTGCTTACTAGAATGCTGATTGGCTTACTGCTAATAATGATTTAAAATCCTGTATTGGGGACCTTACTCTGTGAAGTCTTTCATAATTCCTACCACTTATGTAATTAATTTGTCTTTATCATTATCATTTTTGTACCTCATACAGATTTTAATTGCTAGCAGAGTGTCACACTGCTATATTTTGTGTATGTTGTGTTTATAAGTATGTGTCTCCTTCTAGATTCAAGGATAGAGATCTGTATTTTTATCTTTTTAACTCCTGGCATATTGCAGTGTTCCAATAAATACTTGAATGCAATACATTCTGTCATTGGCTTTATAATTATCTGTGAAGAAAATGGTTTGTATTAGAAAATCTAAAAAATTTGAAGATATTAATCATCTACAGTATAAGGTTATATATGTGTTTGGCAAACTTAATGATAGTTTCTTAGAAACTATTTGATGCATATAAAACAGCAAACAGCTAGTTACTGGGAGTCTAAAGTCTTAGAAACAGTTATTGGCAAAAAAATTAAAGATGAAGGGAGTTCATGATAATGGTCTCCTTAGTTGCATAAATATCTGCAACACAACCTTGTTTTCTTTGTCTCGAGGCTATCATACTTTCTCAAGACATACAACTAGTATTTTTTGCTCAACTGTCAAAAATCTGGTTGTATGGACCACAAACAAGATATCACCATTTACTTTATTTCTACGTATTACATTTGCTCTCCAGGAATAAATAAGGTTGTGAGTGCCAGATTTGGAAATCCAAATTGTTAGATCGTGGTAGATTTCCCCATAAGTAAAAATAGTTCTCATGTTGTTTTGTTTTTTAGGTTCCCAGATTGTGATGAGCCGTATCCTCGACTTGTGGATCTGAATTTAGCTGGAGAACCAACTGAAGGAGCCCCAGTGGCAGTGCAGAGAGACTATGGTTTTTGGTGTCCCCGAGAGTTAAAAATTGATCCTGATCTGGGTTATTCTTTTCTGCACGTGCGTGATTGTTCACCTCCTTGTCCAAATATGTACTTCAGGAGAGAAGAACTATCATTTGCTCGCTATTTCATAGGATTGATTTCAATCATTTGCCTCTCTGCCACATTGTTTACTTTTTTAACTTTTTTGATTGATGTCACAAGATTCCGTTATCCTGAAAGGCCTATTATATTTTATGCAGTCTGCTACATGATGGTATCCTTAATTTTCTTCATTGGATTTTTGCTTGAGGATCGAGTAGCCTGCAATGCGTCCATCCCTGCACAATATAAGGCTTCCACAGTGACACAAGGATCTCATAATAAAGCCTGTACCATGCTTTTTATGGTACTCTATTTTTTTACTATGGCTGGCAGTGTATGGTGGGTAATTCTTACCATCACATGGTTTTTAGCAGCTGTGCCAAAGTGGGGTAGTGAAGCTATTGAGAAGAAAGCATTGCTGTTTCACGCCAGTGCATGGGGCATCCCTGGAACTCTAACTATCATCCTTTTAGCGATGAATAAAATTGAAGGTGATAATATTAGTGGCGTGTGTTTTGTTGGCCTCTACGATGTTGATGCATTGAGATATTTTGTTCTTGCCCCCCTCTGCCTGTATGTGGTAGTTGGGGTTTCTCTCCTCTTAGCTGGCATTATATCCCTAAACAGAGTTCGAATTGAGATTCCATTAGAAAAGGAGAACCAAGATAAATTAGTGAAGTTTATGATCCGGATTGGTGTTTTCAGCATTCTTTATCTCGTACCACTCTTGGTTGTAATTGGATGCTACTTTTATGAACAAGCTTACCGTGGCATCTGGGAAACAACGTGGATACAAGAACGCTGCAGAGAATATCACATTCCGTGTCCATATCAGGTAAGGGAAACCTTGTTACAAATTTCAGAATGTGTGGTAATAAAACAAAAGCATATTACTATAATGAGTTAATATCAGCTGTTTTTTGAAATGTCATGAATCTTCAACTTGTACGTTAACATTTTAAGGTTGAGATAAATACGTTGTAGTAAATATGTAATACACATATTTGATAGACATCTTCATTTTAAAAGATGACTTACAAGTCTACGCTATGGGCTTTTAAGCAGTGTACTTCTATTGGTGATTTTTTTTTTCCAGAAGTGTGCAGTATTGTGGGGGAGAAGCACTTTACCAACATTTATAAAAATGTGCTGTCTTTTTATGGGAATTTTACTGATGTTCAGGTTAGAAATTGTTTTATTAATAGCAGTTTTGCAAAAATAAGATGCAAGTATAAAAACTCTTAATGATCTTGATTTTTCCTCTTTACATACTGAATATTTTGTGATTTCTTTTTGAGTTTAGAGTTCAGAGCCTCTGGTAGTCTTAGAATTATGGAATTTCAAATCTAGAAAGAACTTTAGAGATCATTTATTCAGATTCCCTCTGTAATTTAGAGTTCTTGAACATCTAGCATCATATTTGAAGCTTTGAAATGTTAAATGACTTGCTCATGAGTAGTAAATGAACAGCTAGGATTTAGTCTTAGATAAATGTAGTCAAGGAAAATATATCAGAAGAGTTAATGCTAAGTATTTCTCTCTCCCATCTTTAGTACTTCTAGAATCTATGTTCCTACTATTACCCTATCTTCTTTTATATATTTACGATTATTATTTAGAGACAGGGTCTTACTAGAATGCAGTGGCGTGATCACAGCTCACTGCAGCTTCAAACTCCAGGAGCTCAAGCAATCCTCCTGCCTCAGCCTCCCGATTAGCTAGGACTACAGGTGTGCACCACCATGCCCAGCTCATTTTTTATTTCTTTTTTTAAGAGATGGGGTTTCACTGCGTTGCCCAGGCTAGTCTCGAACTCCTAGCCTCAAGTGATCCTCCCTCCTGGACCTCCCCAGATGCTGGTATTACAGGCGTGAGCCACCATGCCAGCCTCTCTTGTTTCTTTTAAAACAAGTTTTCTTAAAAGAGTACTCTAATGTGGTGTCTCCTGTTTGTCATTTTCCAGATTTCCTATTATAAAAGTGCACCAGCCACCTTTTCATCTCCTCCAACCTTTGTTACTCTAATACTTTTAAATACCTTTATTGAAGTACTTATGTATTACAGATAACTTTTGTTTACTAGTCTGTTTCCCCTACTACTATACAGTGAATTCTTTGAAAGGAAGAATTTCTTTTTTTGTGTTTTGAAGACATTCTGTAGATAATAGTAATGAGAATGTGGGTATATAGCTTGAGAAGAGAAGACATTTTTAAGACATGGTAACAGAAATGTACATTTAAGAAATGGTTACTGCTACAGAGAGTATGGGGTTAGCACATAATAAATGCTGATACATTTTTGATCACTGAGAATGCCAATTACCCTTTTATTTTGGTATAAATAGTCCTATACAAATGATATTTATCATTGTATAATATTAGGTACTGATTTTTTAAAAATAAACCAACTCATAACTTAAGAGACTAGGAAAAAATGAATAATTGAAATTTCATTCAATTTCTTGCCAGAACTGCTTACTAAAAACTCCTAATACGAGTTTTCAGACCTAAAGGTAAAAATCCAGTTTTCCTTCTGAGAGAGAGATGTTGAGTTATATTTTATGCTTCCCCATGTCAGTTTCTAAGATTGTAAATTATTATTTTAGGGCTATGACCATGAAATAATGGTCTTAAAAAATAGCAAACCTCAAACATGTAAATCAGTAGAGTAGTTGGGATGCTGCTCTTTTCATGACATACCTAGAATTCTTTTAGCATCTTTAGAACCAGTTTGAGCTACACTGAAATATATGTGTGTGTGTGTTGGGGGCGGGATTAATAGTGTTTTCTAAGAAATATTTCCATCATACAGAAATGAATAACAAATGATAATAACAACAAAGGTATTAGACTGTAAGGTATTAAACTGTAGGAGTCCTAGCTTCTTTTCTTACTTTCATTAATTAACTTTATAACCTTGGATGAACTTCACCTCTCTCTGCTTCAGTTCTTCATAATATGAGGATAGTAATAGAATCTACATCCTAGGGTTGTTTTTAGGATTATGCATGTAAATACTTAGAAGTGTGGCTACTAGTCTAGGGCCACTTCACTCTGAATGCTCTTGATATCTTCTGATCTCGGAAGCTAAGCAGGGTCGGGCCTGGTTAGTCCTTGGATAGGAGAAGTGTGGCTACTACATAATAGGTGCTCAAAATGTTGGCTCTATTCTTACTTGTTATTGTCTATTATTGTTGTTGCTACCATTATTTACATATAAATATGTTTTTTAAAAGCCATCCAGTAGTAAGCTTTAGCAAATGCAATATTTGTTTCAGACTTTTAAAAGAAGTCATAAATTTAGCTGAAACTTCCTGTGTACCCTTCCCTCATCCTGTTCCTCTTATTCGCTCCCCAGAGACAACCATCATCGTGAATTTGGAGTTGTTCATTCCCATAAAAGCCGATACAATTACCAATAAATATGTAGTTATAAAAAATGTTTGTTTCACCCATGTTTGACTAAATTCTTTAACTCAACATTTTGTTTTTGAGTTGCATTTATGTTAATACTACAACTCTAGTTTTTAAAATGTTTCCTTTTACTAATATAAAGGAAATTTATAACATATTTCAAATATATAGAGATATAGAAAATAAATATCCATGTACTTACAACCCAACTACCGTGAAATCTTGAAATTATGGCATATGTATATCTGTCTGTGTACCTATGTATCTAATATTAAAGATACAGTTAATACCTCCTCTGTTCCTTTCCATATTCCCATTCCTCTTCTGTCTCCCTCCCTAGAGAAACTCTTCTCATAAATATGGTATTTTTCATTCTCCTGAATATTTTTATACTGTTGCTGAGTGTTTATGTATCCATGAAATTTGCTGTTGATGCAAGTTTCTAAAATGCATATACGTGAGATCATTCTGTAGCTCATTTTTAAACTCAGTTTTATGTTTTTGAGAATATATATGTTGGTATGTGTACTGATAATTTGTTTTAACTGCAGTGGAGTATGCTACTGTATAAATATACTGTAATTTATTCACTCATTTATTGATGAATTTTATAGTCGTTTCTAAGTTTTTATTAAGCCATTTTTCAGTGAATATTCTTATAACACCTTCATTTCTTACATATGAACAAGAGTTTCTATTGGAAGTTTTGCATTGTAGGCTATAAGCACGTTCAACTCAAGTGGTTATTTTAATTTATACTCACACCAGAGTATGCGTTTCCCCTTTGTCCCCATTTTGGCACTCTCAGGCTTTTAAATTTTTGCCAACCTTTGAAATAATATGTCAATTCTGTAGTAATTTACCTTTTTCTTATTATAAGTAAGGTTGAATGTGTTTTCGTATTTTTATCAGCCATTTGGGGTTTCTCCGTGATTTACCTATTTTTTTATCTTTGTCCATTGCTCTGTTAGATTGTTTGCTTTTTACTGTTTAAATATTCTTGGTATTCTTTGCCAGTCATTTGCATTACAGATATTTTCTGCTTTGTGGCTTGTCTTTTCACTTTATTTGTGCTTTGTCTTTTGTGTTTTAAGATAATTCTTCCCTGCCACTAAAGTCATTAAAAGGGCCTGCTGTATTTTTTCTAGCAGTTTCTACAATTTGCTTTTTTGAGTCATATCTCTAATCCCATAAAATTTATTTTTGTGAATGTTGTAAGGAACATAATTTTATTTTTCCATATGGATAAGACGTGCTTTCTGCATCATAGATCAAATAGTTCATCTATTTCAATTGTAATGCAACCTTTTTCATGCACAAGTTTGATTTTTAGGCTCTCTCATTTGTATAACCATGTGTCAACTTCACATCTTCCTTACCTTGTTCTTCTTCTTCAAAACTATTTTAGCTATTCTTGGTACTTTGCTCTTCGGTATGAGTTTTAAAATCAATTTTCCATGAAAACACTGTCAGGATTTTCATTGAAATTGTTTTCGATTTATAAATGAATCTGGGAACATTGCTGTTTTTGCAATACTGAGTTTTGATATCTTGTTTATTTACATTTTCATTAAATTGGTTGTTGGTGTACAGGCATGCCATTTAAAAATTTTTTAAATTTATTTATTGTGACAAAGTCTCGCTCTGTTGCCTAGGTTGGAGTGCAGTGGCACAGTCATAGCTCTCTGTAACCATGAACTCCCAGGCTCCAGTGATCCTCCTGTCTCATCCCCCCTAGTAAGTGGGGCTACAGGCGTGTGCTACCATACTTGGCTAATTTTTTTTATTTTTTGTAGAGATGGGGTCTCCCTGTGTTGCCCAGGCTGGTCTCAAGTGATCCTTCCACCTTGGCTTTCTAAAGACTGCGATTATAGGTGTGAGCTACTGTACCTGGCCTGATTGATTTTGTGTATTGGTTTTATATCAGACATCCTTGTTGAACCCCTATTAGTTCTGATTGTGTATGGATTCTCTTAGATATTCTTTCTAGAAATCATGTTGTTTGCAAGTAGGGACCATTCTGTCTCGCTTGCTTTCAAAGTTTTATGTTTCATGTAAGAGCTGCCTACTCTTGGAAAGGATTTGCGCGTCTTCCTGTAAAACTCTGTCCTCATATCTTTGAAGTGAAAGGAAAGAAGTTAGTTAAGAAAGTAGGCTTTTGTAAGTTAACCATTTAATCTCTTCAATACTAATGGTTTTATTCAGGTCTTTTATTTCTTCTTGAGGCATTTTTTTTTTCATTTACATTTTTCTGGAACATTATTTCATCTAACTTTTCAAATACATTGGCATAAATTTGTTCATTTTTAAAATGTTTTTACCATTTTAGTTTTTGTTCCTAATATATATGTTCTTTTTTTCCCCCATGATCAATCTTGTTAAAGGATTATTTCTTTTTGTTTGTTTGTTTTTGGTAGAGATG